GGAGAGACTGAGTAAGATGTGTTCAATAATGTATACTGTACTGAAACAGAGGAGGGAGAAAACTGTGTAAAAGAGATATGTGACTAGGTATTTCTGTAATCACAGGAGTCTAGAGCGAGGGCTACACGGTGGAGGGGACCTGGGGGAGGGTTTGTAAAACAATGAAAGAATCTTTTCTTTTACTTTTCCATAAAAAAAAGATCTATTTTGAAATACAATGCTGTTAGTGTTATTATCCTATAGATATTTTCCTAACTATACACATACGAGACAGAGCTATTACTACAACCATGATTCAAATATATGCACCAGCTATTAAAGATGAAGAAACTGAGGATTGCCACAAACTTTTGCAGTCTGAAATTAATCCAGCATATGCTCAAGATACACTGACAATAACTGGTGACTCGAATTCCAAAATCGTAAACAAAAAAGCAGCATTGGTAGTTGGAAAATATGGCCTTGGTGACAGAAATAAGGTCAGAAATTGAAAGGCAGAATTTTGCACTATGATCTACTCACTGCAAATATATCTTCTAAAAAACATAAGTGGTGATTAAACATGGGCCTTGCATGACATCTGTTTAAAAGGACAGTTGGAAAGTTCAGTATATAGTGTTTAAACAAGGCCTGGGGCAGACTACGGAAGAGACCATCAATTACTCATATTGAAGCTGAAATAGGAGAAAATGAAAACAAATCCATGAAGGCCAAAATATAACTTACAGCCTTTCTCTCAGCTGAATTAAAAGACTATCTCAAGAAAGATTTGATGTACTGAAATTAATGACCAAAGACTGAAGTTAATTCACTAAGAACACTGAAAAATTGGTATTTTTATATACAATGAATTATTTATTCAAGAAAAAAAATCCTTATTCTTTAAAAAAAAAACATAAAATAGTGACTATACACATGGACTTCACCTAAAGGATGATATAGGACTCAATGTTGGAAAAGATTGGCTTGTTATTCAGGCTTGATCTTGAGCTGAGATAAATGATAGGAAGCAGTCAATGAACCACCAACCTGTGTGAGGAAGAAAGGTTATCTGGGTGTGTGAAGCAAAGTTGAACAAGTCAAGGAAAGAACATGAATGGCATCAAGAGCATTATCAATAAGGAAAGCAAATGTCACTGAAAGGGTGGAAAAGAAAGAAAGGGCTAACATGGATGTCAGAGGATAATCAATTTCAGACTGCAAAAGTTAGTGGAAATCCTCAGTTTCTTCATCTTTAACATTAATAGTTGGTTGATATATATCAATCATGGTTGTAGTAATATCTAACACTTGTTCTTCAATGTGAGGAAGCCACAGTTAAGGGAAGAAATGCTGAAGTAGGAGAGGTGAAAAGGTTTCAGAGTAGTTCAAGAGCACAAAGTTTTATCATGAAGTGTGCATAGACCTGGAGTAAGAAAACCAAAAATGAAGAACATCCTCAGTATTTCTCAAGCTGAAAGAAAAAAAAAGTCTTGACTTCAAATACTACAGGATTCTATGCTGCCATCGAGTTGCCTGTTCATCGAGTTATGTGCCATCGAGTTGCCTGTGATTCATAGCAACCCTATGTACAACAGCTCTGAACCCTACCCTATTCTGAGCCAGTTGCACTGTCTCTGACACATCTGTCCCTATTATCCCAGTTACTGTGTCAATCCATCTCATTCAGGGTCTTCCTTTCCTGAACTGCCCCTCCTCTTTCCCAAGCATGTCCTTCCTCAAAGTCTTGTCCCTCCTGGCAACATGCTCAAAGGATGTAAAACGAAACTCCAAAATCCTAGATTCCAGAGAGAAAGTTGGTTTCACCCTCTCCAAAACAGACCTGTTTGTTCTCTTGGCAGTCCATGGTATATTCAACACTCTTCTCCAGCACCACAGTCAATGGCATCAATTCTTCTGTCATCCTTAGTCATTGTCCAGCTCTCTGATGCATAATAAATAATTATAAAAACCATGGTTTAGATCAAGTGAACCTTAGCCTCTAGACGGACATCTCTGCTTTTCAGCACTTGAGAGAGGTCCCTGACAGTAAACTTTCCTAACTCAGTTTGTCTTTTGATTTCCTGGCTGCTGTTTCTAAGAGTGTTGATTGTAGACCCAAGCAAGTTGAAACTGTTGACAATTTCAATCTCTTCTCCATCTACCATGAAGCTGCCAATTGGCCCAGTGGTGAGAATCTTTGTCTTCTTCATGTTGAGCTTCAATCCATATTGAATAATGCAGTCCTTGACTTTCTGCAGAAGATGCTCAGGTCTTCCTCAGTTTCAGCAAGCAAAGTTGTGTCATCTGCATAACCTAAGTTGTTGATGAGTCTTCTAGGCAAAATATTAAATGGTGGTAGACAGAAGGTAAACAGTTACATGTAAAGAGACTCACCAAAAATTTCTGAGATTCACAAAGAACCATTATATGAAGTAGCATCTGATCAAAACCCAATGGTAACTAAGGAAGAAGTTCAAGCTGCATTGTAGGCACTGGCAAAAAAAAAAAATTAAACTGATGCAACACCAAGAGTTTCCACAAACAGAGCTCTGGAGATGCTCACTAGCCGATGTCAAGAAATTTGGAAGACAGCTATAACTGAGAGATCTTATTTGTTCTGGTCCAAAAAAAGCATGATCCAAAAGAATGTGGAAATTATTGAACAATATTAATATCACATGCAAGTGAAATCTTGCAGATTATTAAATAATGACAGAAACAGTACAACAGAGGACTGTCAAAAATTCAGGCTGGATTCAGAAGAGGCCATGGAATGAGGGCTATCACTACTGAAGTCAGATGGATCTTACCTGATGACAAGAATACCAGAAAGACATTTTTTTTCTCTCTCTCACTGTAAAAGAAAAGATGACCTTCAATGAAAGATTTTTCTCTCTCAGTAAAAGAGAAGGTGACCTTCACCATTAAATATTTTCTCTATGTCAAAAAGAAGATGACCTTCACTTGAGATGGACACAGTGACAACAATGATCTTGATCATCAGGATGGTACAGGATAGGAAAAGGTTTTGATCTGTCCAAAACTTTGTCCTGAGTCACAGTTGACTTGAAGCCTTAGAGCCAGAAAGATAAAAACTAATTACTTAAAAACTCCTAATTAGCAAGGGTCTATATTTGATTTTATCCCATTATTTTATTCCTCAACACATATTTGAAACACTGTTACAATCTGACATAATTTTACTTCTTACTTCCATCAGCTCCATGCTGTGTTTTCTCCCCTTCATATGTAGAAAGGAGACCTGAAGTTAAAACCTAATTAGGGTATCCTGTCATAATCACTTATCAAGCTACATACAGTAAGATCTGTGCTTTTTCATAGCTAGAAATGGCCCTAATCTAGAACTTTAATAAACATTTCTATTTTCATAGTGTTTTGCAGTTAAGGAGGAAGACCCCCAATGAGATGGACCAACAATCTGACTGCTGCAATAGGCTTGAGTGTGGCAGAGATGATTAGGATGGCAAAGGATAGGCTAGGGTTCAGGGCTCTCCTTTAAAGGGTCACTAGGAGTAACACTCTACAAAAGAGCACCTAACAACATCATCATTATGAAAATACTGAAGACCAGACCTGTTAGGAATTAACCATATGAACATTATCATAAAATACTTGTAGAAATTTAAATGCATCATCTGTGAGGCATGAACAGTTCTGATAAAGAATCCAATGAGAGAATCGAAACACAATGTGAATGTTAGTATAGGACTTGCTTTTATCTGGTAGCACAATCCAGACTGGTCTTTACTCCTAGTACTGACTGCATTCAGTCAGTTTACACTTAGAACAACCATCCCCACACTATCAGGTTTCCAAGGCTGTAAATCTCACCAGGAGCAGCCTACTCATCTTTTTTCTGGGGAGAAGCTGGTGGACATGAACTGTTGGAGATGTCAGCTGTCTATCAGCAGCTCAAGATATTACTGGCTATGCCACCAGAACTTAATTTAATTGGTCATTAGCTAGAAAGGGGTAAAAAACCCCAAACAACTAGTTCTCTTTTAAAAATCTCAAATTCAAAGACACTGAGAAGGAACCCCTCATGGCTGACCCTCCAAAGGGTTTTCAGAGGCTGTAGCCACACAGGAGGAGAATGCTCATCTTTCACGAAGCTTACTGGTAGATCTGAACTGCCTACCTTTGGACTGGCACAACTACTTAACCACTGGTCACCAGAGTGTCCTCTCATCTTTTTGTTGTCATGTGCTGTCGAGTCAGAGTCAACTCACAGATGAACTTGTGGGTTTTCATGATGCTGTAAACTAAAGAGAAGAAGATGCGTTTCTTTCTCCCATGAAGCAGCTGGGAGATTCGAACTGCCTGACTTTGGGTTGGCAGCAGAAGTCCTTACAACTAGGTCACTAGAACTCCCTAATCATGAAGAAATTCAGCAATTTGAAGAAAAGACACGTCTCTGGTAAAAAATGTTTAAGAACCAGTGTTTGCTTTCTTCTCCCTTGGTAGAAAAGGCTCTCAGGAAGCAGATTAACTGTCTCAAGTGTTCTTCAGTG